TGAAATTCAATTAATCATATTGTGGTTGTGATTTTCACTGTCACCTAAAAATTGATAACGTTTTATTTGTTGTTGTTTCTATGATTTTGTTGTATTTATTTTTAAATGTGGACACAACCGTTCACAAGTTTTTCAATAGAAAACTGACTACTCAGTTGTTGTTTGATAAAGTTTGTAATTAGTATATTTTTTGTTATGTGGAGTATAAAAAGAAATGGTTTGTGTGTGTATGAATTAATGTATGTATATATTGGCATAATGCGGAAATTTAAATATAATTAATTAGGCAAAAATCACATTAAATAAAAAACACAACAACGGGTCAACTAAACGAGATAATTTGCACAATTTTGACAAAATGTTTTGATTGTGATTAGGCCAGAGTTGAACAGAACTAAATTGAGAGTAAGTGTGTGAGAGCGTAACTGAGGGATAATCATCAAAAATGACTGACGAAAAGAGACAAAAAGAGAATATGTGTTTAGCAATCACCGCTATCGTACTATTTTGTGCATTAGTGGATTAGGCTAAAAATTATATAGATTACAATATCGATACTTAATGTGATTTACATTAACATTTGTAATTTTATTTAATTCGTTCTTAACATAATTAATTTTACTATCCATACGTATAAAATTATCTATATATCTATTAAATTAATTCTATTTATAATTGATTGTTTTGTTATACGAAAGCAGTCGAACCGGTATCAAATTTTGTGAGCAACTTAGCACCCTTAAAAAAACACACACACAAGAAGCCGGCCCTTAAGACATCAAATAAGAGACATTTCATTTTCAGGTTTATTTGAAGATTTAAGAGAGACAAAAATTATAAAAAAAAATCTAAAGAAACTAGAAGTAGGGATGATATATTTATTACAAGGGTATAGCTATAAAATTATTACAATTATTTCTCTATGCGGATTTTTGATTACATAAAATATTAAATCTATTTTACTATTTTTATATATTTTTGAAATCATATAAAAATTTTTAGTTTTAGGACTCAAGTTTCATTGGATAAAATCCGTTTTAGACAATTTTGATACGATTTTCCACTGTTCGTCTATTCTCTTTCGGTTTCAAAAAATTGATTTTTTTATTTTGATTTAATTTGAATCTATAGGTTCTTAAGAATGTCCCTTTATAATTTCAAGTGAAAAAAATTCTCAGAATTTAAACAAGATTTTCTCAAAAACGAATAATCCAATCCGTTCCAAATGTTAACATGTTATTCTGGACCTAAATAGCTATGTTATGAACTAGGATACATTTAGTCGATCGATAAAATTCCTCATTTTTCAGATTGTTTTTTTTTCGAAAATTGGCCAAAAAAATAATTTTCCTATATCCCCCATTTTGTTAATTTTCGGATTCTCAATTTTATTTTCAAACTGAACAGACGTATTTTTTGTGTTTGCCTATAATTAACAATTTGAAAAGTCCGAAGTCGGCGCAAGAACGCGTTTTATCTGAAAGTGTACCATCTGACAAAGCAGGGGATACACGAAAATCTATGGGACTCCAAAAATCGTCAGAAGGCTCTTTTCCAGAGGAATCAATTGTAAATGTTGTAACCCAAAATTCATCGAAGTCTAGGAATATCAATGCCAATTCAAAAGCAAAGGGCACTGTTTAAATCGTTCTCAATCCAAACGACCAAGAATATGTCAAGCATCGGAAGTGCCATCAGGATCAAATCAAGTCATCTCTCAAAATAGATTTGCTTTGCTAGGAGACATTAACCACTTACCGAAACAAATGTAGAGAAGGAATCTGTCACCGCTCCTAGAAAATAAGTCGCATCGAAATCGGGTAACAAGGTTTCTGTCCTCTATTTTCTTTTTAATGTAAATGTCACAGACCTTGTTCGTAGTCAATAATTCTAGTTTATAACAGAGTAAGATATGTAGTCTTTCTAATTGCATTGGAGTTTTGAGATTCGAATGTTCCAGTGATTGGAACATCCGAGAGATTACAAAAAATAAATAAATAAGACTACAACAACAGTTTGTCAATTTATTTTCTTCTTCTTGAGATCTATAAATACATGTATGCAAAGTTACAAGTATGCTCATTTGCCAGCCGGTTGAAAATTGTCTAAATTTCAAATCGAGAATGGTGGGTGGGTGCCCTTCAATTAATGTTGAAGATAGAGAATATCTGCTTACCCCTAAATTGAATTTTAAAAATTAATACATTTCACAACAAGCGATTGGAGTGTAAGAGTTGTTCCATTGATTAATCATGCTAATAGTTTTATCAAGCCTAGATAACGTCCGAAGATGGGATCTACGAACATCATGTCTAAAAATGGCTCCAAATTTGTAATAATTACAAATTCAATATCAAAGGAATCGACTGACCACTTTGATCAACATTTTGTACACCGTAATATTTTTGTCAAATCAAGATCAAGTCCAAAAATGGTTTCCATCGATGTACTGCTTCTGGTAACTCCCCCATAAAATTTAAATATTTTTAAATTTGTTCTGTGTTGTTTTGTTCGACCTTTTGATTCTTATATAATAAAACAATATTTTTTTTTTCGAGCTTGAGGTCTTTTTTATTTTTCAGGATCAATATTTCGCAATTGTTTTAAATTGCATCTTCAGGATAATCTACAAACAATTTTGAAATTAATGACATTAATTATACAGAATGAAGTGACAAAATCGCTTACAAATAAACTAGTGTCAAGTTTACTTAAAACTATGATAGACTTCACTATCGTCGTCGGATGTAAATATTTTTAAATTGAATGAAGTATTTGATTTCTTTAGGGCATTTCTCCTGGTACCCCCATCACAGATGGGTATTATTAAAATCCAAATTATTTTTGGGAGGGTACATGTGGATATTAAGTATTAAATATTAAAACATTGGAATATGATTTAATGTTACTTCGCCATATTAAAATTTCTAGAGAACTTCTTGTGTGTACAAATGATGACCTCAACTATTGAAATATCTAAGTGTTGCTTGTTGTGTGTATGAATGTTTGTCGTAAAAAAATATTAAACAGTGAAAATTGTCTAACCTTTACTGAATTTTGCTCTCTAACATAACTCATTACAATATAGAAATTGCATGCCTTTTTCATTTCACAATCATTTAAACAATTCGTGTAAGTATAATTTAAATTTGCACATACCCATGCATAAATAAACACACGTTCTCGGTACAGTCTGTCAAGAAAATTATTTCATAGAGGATTTTGAAAAAAAATATGTACATATATTTAATTTGTTAAGTAAATGAAGAAAAAAGTCATACGTGTTTTAAATTCATGTAATATTTTTAAAATCTTTTTTTTATTTTTTGTGAATTTTTATGACAGACTTCTAATCTAAGCAGTACAAAAATCCACCATACACAGTATTTTAATTAAAACAAAAATTTAACCTTTTAGCCTTTCTGTACACCAATCGGAGCAACAAGTAAAGTATTACAATTGATCGCTATCTTGCGTTCAAAAGATGCCAGCTCAGTTAGCCGCACCACATGGGCCTTATCAGCCTTCACCAATATGAGTAAGTAATTACATACAGATGCCTATAGTTTTGTCATACACATCCGAAAATCTCATAATTATGTTTTTTTTTTGTTTTTTCTTTCTTGCAGCTCGCATCTATACTGTCTACGTGCAATCTCATGATTGGATGTTGTTATCGAATTTCCTGATATCAACATTTTTAAGTTCATCGGTATTTTTGGCCGCCTGTGTTTACAAGAAGAAAACAAAGAAAGAATAGAAACGATATACGCTGCACAACGAATATAAATGCACTTACGATTCTAATTAGTAAAATGAAAAATTACAAAAATATTTTGTATGACAATTTTAGTTTTTTATGTGTACACTGAGATTATTTTATGTTTTGTTTGTTTTGTATAATTAATTATGAACAAATTTGACTAGATTTTTTTAATTTGTTTTTTTATTTCTTATTAAATAAATATATTGTATTTTCATTCTAATACAAAAATTAAAGAGTTGTACGATGGATCAGAAGTAAATGAGGTAGCTCTTGGAGTGTTTGAGAGAAAAATTCTCCGAAAGACCTACGGGCCAATCTGCGTCAACGATGAATATCGGCGTCGAATGAACCACGAGCTATAGCAGCTATACACGGACATCGACATAGTCAGTCATCTACGACGGTTAGGACATCTGATGGTTCACTCAGAAGGAAAGGAAGGAACTAATTTAAATCAGGTTTTTGAATTGAAAGGTATGCATTTGCGGAACAATAAAATATGATATTGATAATTGTAAATTATGTGAAGATGGATCCAAGATGTTTGAGCACTTATTCTGTCTTATCTTTACTCTCACATCAACTCCAATACCTCATACTATTTTATTTGCAATCTTATTACACTCAAAATAATACCAATGGATCGGAAGTATATATATATATGGTATATGTTCTCGCAAAACAGTTTTGGGAACAGTTGTTAAAGATTTTTCTTTACGAAAACTACTAGTCTCTTTCGATGATTTGTCGTCGAAAATTATTGCATACTTTTAGGCCGCCGACGAAATGTTTTTATGTATGGACTGTATATTAAATTTGTCATTCCGTTTGCAACACATCGAAATATTCACCGGAGATCCCATAAAATATATATTCTTGATCAGAATAAAATTCTATGTCGATTTATGCTTGTCCGTCTGTCTTTTTAAAGCGCGATACTGATTGCAATATTTGTGATAGAGCTTTGAAATTTTGTACTGACATTGTTATTACTCCTAGAATGATTGGTATTGAAAATATATATAAAGAAGCCACAAGTACACAATACATAATCATTTCCCAAGACCAATACAAAAGTTCTACAACAGAAAAGAGATATTTAAGAATAAAAAATATTACTATTACTCAATTTCAAATTTAAAAATATCATTAAATTTTATTTAAAAAAAAAACTTTTTTGGGAGGACAATCATTAATAAATAAACGTTTATAGTGATATGTGAATTTGTTAGAATACTTTAAGGGATGTTTAGTTTTTGCCAAATTTAAAGACGGACAACATATTACGCATCAATGCCGGACCATTCCAATAGCCATTCAACATAATATGCCAATAAAGTATCGGCATCATATCCTTTTTCATGTAGAACATACTATAACGTTCCTTATTCTGTGGAACTGGGAATGTTTCCAATGGTTGCAAATTGTAATCGAATTCAGCCAATATACATGTTTTATAACCAGTTACCAGGGGGCAAGAGGCATAACCATCATAGACTTTGTTACAATCTTTACCCTTCATCACAGCCATCATATTGTTGAAGACAACGGGTGATTGGGCAGCTGTAAAAATTGAGATTTTAGAGATTTTTTTATTTATTATTTTAATTATATTTATACACATACCTGCTGCAGCCGCTGTCTTGGAGTTGGGAGAGGCCGAACAATCACCAATGGCAAAAACATTTGAGTATTTTACATGTTGCATTGTGTCCTTGTTGACATCGACAAAACCAGCTTCGTTTACCAATTCTTTGCAGTTGGCCAATTCAGTTGGTGTGCTCATTGGTGGAACGACATGCAGCATTGAATACTAAGGACGAAATTGAAAATACACCGTTATTGTAGTAACAGAGAATAAAAATGTTTATAAAATATATTTCTCTGAATTTAATAAGATTTATTTATATAAATATATGTTTCTTAGTAACCAATAATTCGAAAAGACATTTTATCCTACTGAGGACACAATTCAGGAGTAATTTCTTCATGCAGAAAAATTGCAGCTGAAGGATTGGGTTTCAATCCTTAGTGGTAGTGGAAAGGTTTCACGAGAAGTTAACCTAAAAACCCCATCTTCGATATTAATGTAGGTTTGGTAAAAGTATTACGATGTGCAATCGATGCATCAAAATCGGATACAGGTTTTTCAAAATTTGACAATGATGTACCAGAAGTGTTGAACCGATGGGTCCAATATTTGGTATTGATCTAGGCTTGGTAAAATATTACGATGTGCAAAGTTTAGATGAAAGCACATAGTCCAAAAATGATACCATTTACGGGGAGGTACCAGAGGGATTGCACCATCTTCTGATTTGATCTACTATGTGCAAATTGTGGATGAAATTGTACACTCCATTCAATAAATATTTTATTTACACATTTTCAAAATTTTGGGCGGGAGGTAACAGAATCAATGGACCGATGGATGTCATATTCGTATTTCATCTATGTTGGTAAAAATATTATAATTTAAAATGTTTGGATGAAATTGGATACTTTACTCGCTTAAAGGACGGGACCCGAACGAGTGGACTAAGATATGCCTAGTTTGTATGAAAATGCATATTCCGTTCGTTTATACGAGTTTAAAAAAGTTGACCATTTAATGGGGGTGGTGGACTAGAGGGGGTATCCCATTAACCCCAACTTCAAACATTATTACTCTGTTCGCATTATATTAATAAATAAATTTTCAGTAATATTTTTACCTTTTTGTGAGAGGATACCGGAATAATTGGACCGATATTTCCCACCTCGAAAAAATATTATAATGTGTAAATATGGATAAAATCAGTCGCTTCCTTCCAGAGTTCTCGTGGGCGCCAGCCAGACAGACGGACGAACTATAAATCGACTCCAAATTGTCTGAGAAGGATTTGGTATAAACAAATTAGTTGATGCGGCATGAGGTATACAAATCCGCAGATGCGGATACATATTTACGTCTAAAAATTCTAATCAGATGAAGTGCTATTTTTTATTAATACGATATCTTAAAAGTTGCGTACAGTTAGACTTTTTTCCTAAATCAAAATTGCTTTTTAAGGAAGAAAAAAAATCTCTGCTTGTGCATCATACCTTTTCTTCGAATTTCTCTTCAGGTTTATCAAGATTTTCAAAAATGGCAATATCACTTTCTGGTTTAATTTCAATCAAGTTGCGACGAGTATTAACTTGAATGTTACGCTTCTTGACAATTGGCCACAAGGCATCGGCATAATGTTTAACGCCAAAGATAACGGGAAGAGCTGTGTTGTAGGTAACATTGATTTTATTACGTTTGTTCATCTAGAAAATAGAAAAGAAAAAAATATCAAAATGATTAAAGTTCTCTTTGTGGACTTACTACACCGAAACTAACCTTACGGAAATAATGTTCAGAAATGTAGACAATTTTCTGTGGTGCACCGGGACATTTAACGGGTGAACTGGGGAAAGTAAATATGGCATTACCCTCTTCAATGTTGCGCAAACAATTATAGGTTCTGTCAACATATAATGGTGAATAAATCGAACACACCTTGCCGTTTGGTATGGCCAAGGCATCCAACAGACCTGGAATCTGATGTTGGGAGAATAAAAGTCATTTGTTACATCGTAGATAAAAAGGAAATTAATTTTTTGTGTACCTTATTGTAGTTTAATTGCAGACCAGCTGCCAGCAACAACATATCGTATTTAATTTCGTGACCCGAAGATGTTGTCACTGTATTATTATTGGGATCGAAATGTTCGGCCTTTTCCTTAATCCATTCAATATTTTTGGGCAATACCTTAGCCATGGGTTTGTAACTTTGTTCCACAGTTTTCATACCGCCACCAATCAATGTGAACATGGGTTGATAATAATGTTTCTAAAAAAAATTGAAATGGAATGGAGTTAGAAAGATATTTATATATTTTATTAAAATAAAATAACCTACATCAGCTGGATCTACAACGATAACACTATTTTTGCCCAATTTCGATGATAATTTGGCAGCCAAGGCACAGCCTCCTGAACCACCACCAACAATAAGAACTTTGCATCTGTAAATGATGTTAAGTAAAAAAATAAAATAAAATATGAATGGTACAAGGTTAAATATTAATAAAAAATTAGTCAGTTCTTGAGAATGTAGGTAACATTGAATCATCAACATTATCGTTAAATATCCATTACGTCATAAAAAGGTTTTGTTGCGTACCATCATTTCATATTATCAATGATAATGGATCGATTGGATTAGAACATTTAAATTAATGAAAATTGGAAAAATTCCGTTAAAATTTGTTTTTAATTGGTCCACTTTTGTTTTGATTTTATCTATCAGTGTGCGCTTATCAATTTCACAATATTCAAAATCTATATCATAAAAAGGACCGACTTTGACACGTTTTAAATTATCATACAATATTAAACAATTAATTATGTGAAAAAATGATAATAACGTGTGTAAATGTCAAGTAGTTCTGCAGTAGGAAATCTCATTGGTTTCTCAATTAATCACATACATATTTATGTATAAAAAAGGTTCCACCTTTGAGAAAAAAATAGAATATTAAAAAAAAGAAAAGGTTCATTCGGAGTTGCCGTCAGATATATACCATCAGCCTATATTATTCGCTGTAAAATAAGTGAACCGATGGGTCCCATCTTCGGATTCGATCTAGTTAAAAATATTCCTATGTACAAAATTTGATATTTCGTTCGCTTCATATGAGATTTAAACCCTTTCCAATTTTGACCGTTTATGAAAATTTTTTCATATTTTTTACTCTCTATGGGGGAGTTACTAGAAGGAGTGGACCGATAAGGCACATCTCCCAACAATATACAGGTATGGTTAAAATATTAAATTGTATAAAGTTCGTTTTGAATCGGATGCTCTGTTCCCATAATATTAATCCTTATTACGGTTGGCGTTGTCGGTGGCCTGTCGCACATATACGACAAATCGGTATTATGAAAGTCGTTACAATACGCCAAATTTGTTATTAACCACAACTAAAAAAATAGAAAAAATTCTTAAAATTGCATTTTTACAATATTTGCTGATTAACTGTTACATTATATTTTTTTTTATTGAATTTCTCATTATTCATAAGGACTACGCCTACGACAGCTGCTGTACTACGCCTACCGTAATAAGGGTGCTTATAAAATACATTTTCAGTACAATTTTGACATTTTGTGGGGGAGGTAGCAAATACAGTGGACCGATTATTTTTATTTGTTCTTTATTTTGTATTGAAAAGCCATTCGGCCAAAATCTAATACAATATGCTCCAATGACAAATTTTATGCAAATAAATTAAATTTAATTGAACTAAATTAAACGTATGAAAAAAATATAGCTAAACATATTATAAAAATATTTACATTTTACGTGTTCCTCAGGGGAGAACTACTCAGAAAATACCTCCTTTAAGAGGCTGTTAAAATCTAATTTAAACATAATATGAATATGTACTTTTTATGAACATCTTCGGAGAGAACTACTAAAAACACCAAATTTAAGAGACTGTAGAAGTCTAAAATAAAAATTAATTGTAACATATGCTGGTTTTATTAAATATATGATTACCGTAGCGACTACTCAAACGAGATTTAATTAAATTGGGCTATCGCTAAACATTAGACCGAGGCTTTATATTAAAAAATTTAAGTTGATTAGGGAGTGTATTGAATAAACGAGAAACTCGGACAAGGAATAACTTGTCCATGTGAAGATCTAAACGGGGTATAATTAATTTCGTATTCCTAGAAAAGCGCGAAAAATTAAATATACTTGCCAAAAATAGAGGACATTGCGATTTATACACTTTATAAAATAATAATAGACATCGAATATCAACGAATCTGTTAAAGGGACAGCAAATAAAACGTTCTACAAAGGGAGAAATATGGGAAAAGATCCCAACAGAATATACATATCTAACTGCTCTATTGAATGCTGCGGAGTAAACTTCCAAACAATACAGAATGTTTGGTAGTACAAGCGCATGAACCATTTTTCCCTTTATATGCTGAGGAAGGACTAGGTCGCAGCTATAAAGCCTTCGCAATGCAATATTAGTCCGAGAAACCACTCTATCGATATGCGATGTAAATGACAGCTTATCATCAATAAGTACACCAAGAATTTCTAAAACGCCAACAATTTGTATTTCGACCCCCTCGTATTTAAGGTCAATAGAATGAGAGGAGAATAGCAGAGACTTAGTTTTCGACGTATTTATGCCCAACTTATTTTGAGTCATCCAACTACTCACTAAAGAAAGTGTATAATCAATTTTAGATTGCAAAACATCCATATTAGACACTTGACCCGTGAATAACAGCTGGACGTCATCCGCAAACTGATACGCTGAACAAAAGTCACCTATACTTGAAGTCAAATTGTTAATAAACATCGTAAAAAGTAGCGGCCCAAGTACGGAACCTTGGGGTATTCCACTCTTAACATTCAATATATTAGAAGTTGATCCACCAACACTAACACATTGCTTCCTATGCAACAAATAAGAAGAGACCAAATGACATGCTGAATCTTGAAAGTGGTATATATCACTAAGCTTTTTCAATAACTTTAAATGATCCACTCTATCAAACGCTTTCTCAAGGTCCATGGAATTTAAATGTGTAAGATTACGTTCATTAAAATGTCTTCTAATGGAGTCCGTCAGTCCTAGAAGAACACTCGTTGTACTCCTTTGAGCACGAAAACCACATTAATAATCGCTTAACAGATTATTAGTTTCGATGTAATAATTAATATTGTTCTTATTTTTCAAATTGTATATTCCGACTCGGTAAAACTGCATATACATTAGAACTTTTTACCGGGAATTGACAATTGAAACCCACTGGCTTAACGAAATCCGGTTGAATGTAATCGTACTATAACATTTTGGCCATTTTGTGAGGCAGGTACCAGGAGTGGACCAATATTTAAAATTTTTAAACTTGAGTTAAGTTCAGAAGAAATATTTTGTTGTGCAAAGCACTGAAAATAATGACGTGAATAATTTGTTAGAATTTCTTTCGAATATAGTTTCCATGGATTTAAATATATCTGATATCCCATTTAAGGGGACCCCCCCATTCTCGGGGTCAAAATTTTTGTTGATATAATTCGAATCTACACTGATTAAAGAATGTCTCTACAAAATTTCAAGTGAAAATCTCAAGAACTTTTGAAGATATATCCGATTTAGTGTGTCAGCATCAAGTGACGGCTAAAGGGTTTCTCAAACTTTAAACGCGTTTTTCTCTAAACATTTTTTTGCGAATGGCGGGCACGATAACTCAAAAACTAATAATCCAATCGGTTCCAAATTTTGCATCGTTTCTCTGGGAGTGTATAGCTCTCGTATGAACTAGGATAAAGCCAATCGGTGAAGATCTTCCTTATTTTTTAATTTGGTTTTTGGTCAAAAATCGGCGATTTTCCAAAAATATTTTTTCAAAGGTCCACCATTTTGTTAATTTTAGAGCGAAGTCAATAATCCTAGTTCATACGAGAGCCAGACATGTACTCTTTCTAACACCGTTGGAATTTTCGGATTCCGATGTTCCAGTGAGGAGTTATCATGCCCGCCATCAAAAATAAGGACTTTTCTTTAATTACAAAAAACAACAACAAAACAATAACAAAAATTTTTTGTAAATTATTTTTCTTTTTTTTTTTAAATCTTCAATTATATATGTGCAAAGTTACAAACCTTAACAAGCATTGGTATTGATTTACCAGCCCATTGAAAATCTTAAAAAATTCAAATCGAGAATGGGGGGGGGGGGCGGGGGGGGTGTTCCCTTAAGATATGATTTAATTAACAAATATCAATGAAATCACATAATCAAAATGTTTCGTGTTGGTCCCTATATAATTGACAGTACATGCAGCACTATCGTGAATATCAAATCCTAAGTGCCAATGTGAATATTTTAACATTTAAAATCTTATTCAAATAACAACAACTATTATTTGTTTTCAATTTCAAATATTTGAAGGCGGCCTATATTGCGAACAAGTTCATCGTCTTCTTGTTTGTGTGGAAGTTAACAATGGACAACAACTTGTGTTTGTGGTCAAACACGTGTAAGCGTGTTAAATTTTTTGCCAGTCATTGTAAACTTCACAAAATTTAAAAATAGCAAAGAAAAAAATTCTGGAAACAAAATGTTGTCTAAAACATGTGTACATAATTGCTGTTTATACCGCTTGTGTGAGAAAAAAAGTTATGAGATCAAGAAAATACTGAACGAATCTATCAAACACACGCAATAGTTCGAGTTAATATAAATCATTATTTTCTATACCAATAGAATGAGGTCAAAATGAGGATTGTTGGCCAATTTGTCATTCATGACCTCGAAATATATATTATATATATTTGTTGTCCAATTGAATTTATATTTTCTAGTTCTATATTTTATTAAAAGTAAAATTTGTATTCATTACTTGCTATTAGTTTGAGATAAATTATTTATGTTTCCATTTTAAATATTCTTCCGTGGCATATTTTCGGCATTTATTTTTCACCACAGAGTTGGACTTAATTCAAAGTTTCTTAATGAGAATAAAATAAAAGGGATTGGTATGTATATAACTAATTATTATTATAAATAGTGACCTATGGGTAATTGCCTCTACTAACATGTATATTATTATTGTCTTATATTTTATGCTATAAATAATTAAAAATTTGCGTGCTGTAAACACCCTTAGGGACTATTGTCAGGGTTACTAGCATAAATTCTACAACTGATATTAATTAACACTTTTGTTTATTTATTTCAACATGCTATTGCTAACACATTTATTTGCTATGAATGAAGTTAGTAATAAAATAGATTCACACATTGTCAATGGGTGGATTGTATATCACCTGTTGCCGCTTATATTTACATACATAAAATTATGTTGTATATAAATATATTGCATTACTTTTGACCCAAAAGACTAATTATGTCTCGCACAAAAGAAGGGACAAAATACAACTTTATCAATTATTACACTATGCAACGAAATTTAGGGTGGGAAATGGAAAATTCTTTTTGGGGAGAGGTTGATTGTTGATAGCGTTGACGCTCTCCAGGACATTCTTATACCCTTCACCATTACAATATGTCGTTTGCAACACCACGAAATATATT